AGTAACTATAAATAAGAATACTGACATTTCAAAAGCTTGTTGAATTAAAAATTCACAAAATCAACTAATGTTTGTAAATCATTATAAACACTTTTATCATAAATTTTGTAATTAAAAAAAAAATTATACAATATACACATATATAGATAAAATTCATCTATTGATCACTTCACAAAAGTTAAAATACTAATTAATGGTTTACAAATAACAAAATCAACAAACTGGTGTTAAAATCATCTCTATCAAGTTTTTTTACATTTACTAAATCTGATCTCATTATATTTATAAAAACAAATATAACCATTAATTAGTATTTTAACAAAAGTTAAAATACTAATTAATGGTTTACAAATAACAAAATCAACAAACTGGTGTTAAAATCATCTCTATCAAGTTTTTTTACATTTACTAAATCTGATCTCATTATATTTATAAAAACAAATATAAGACATCAGATCAAAAAAAAAAAAAAAAATTCAAGAAATATTGAAATAGAGTTTTAACATAAAATGTTGTTTCACTGCTTCAAAATTGCATTTAGTGCTTCATTAAGTATTTAAGCTAATATTGCGCTAATACTGTGTACAGTAGTAATGACTATACATTACAACTTCTGCTAATAATAATAGTAACAAAAAAAAGAAATAAAATAAAACATAAGTTAACGCTAATATTTAATTTGAAATCTTTTTATATTGTTTTATCTCACATTTCTATCTTGTTTTTTTATCATTTGAAAAACAAAGTTCAAAATAAAAAAGCTAGAAAAATGAAAATTTACAATACTAGGTTATTTATATTAGCGTTTGTTTATAAAATTTTTTTACTACTATAGCGTGATTAATCAAACTGAATAATTTACCCCTTTTTTATTAAAGTATTATTAATTTAATTTTAATAGTAATGCCAACATTTTGGTTTTAATTATAAAAGTAAAACTTTGCTTTTAGCAATTTTAATTTTTATTGAAATAAGACATTTTAAATTAATATTAGTTTTTATTAATTTTTAAGTACCAGAATTTTTACTAATTTTTTAGTAATTACTAATTTTTAGGTACCAAGTTTTTGTGGCTCAGAATTGTTTAGCTTTAGTTTGGCATCTTAGTGGTACTGAAGTAAAAGCATTCGAAAAGTATTCCAGGTATTTTTTTAATACCTTTATTTAAAATTCAGATAGTACTCAGAGTGATAAGGGATGCCATTCTGCAAATTGATTTAGCTTTTGATTGAGAAATTTAAGCAATGTCATTAAGTTCTCATTTAAAAAATATTTGGTGGTTAAAATCAAACACAACTTTTTAATACTTCAAATATTGACATACATTGTAAAATTCTTTTGAAGTAAATGATACTCTAAAACTTGTTGAAAGTATTGATTTTTATGGTTGTATTTAAATTATTGAGTTAGCTTCAATAAATTAGTGAAATAAATTTCAGTAATAGATTTTATTTTTCTATATTTATTTAAAATCACAACCACATATTTCTATACTCATTTAAAAATAATTAATAAGCAGGAAGAAGGATAAATGTGGTTTCAAAAAGTTCTGAACTTCTTTTTACCCTATCCACTTATAAGAGAGTATAAGTGTTTTTCAGCATCTATACAGTAATAGCTTACCAACAACCAACAAAATTACTGAAACAACTTCTGTCAAATTCCGTTACTCAATAAAAAAAAAGCACTATTTAAATGTAAAGATGCTTGCTGCAAAACTTGCTAGTAGAAAATTTTGTCCAATGGTACTATATGGAATATTAAAAGTCACATTACTAGCAAAACAGCGAAAGGGCAATTTTCTATATTTTGGTTGTATTTAAATTATTGAGCTAACTCAATAATTTAAATACAACCATAAAAATCAATACTTTTAACAAGTTTCAAAGTATCATTTACTTCAAAAGAATTTTACAATGTATGTTAATATTTAAAGTATTAAAAAGTTGTGTTTGATTTTAACCACCAATTATTATAGGAATTCAAATTTTTGACTGAACAACAATATAAAACACAATTAAAGAATTTTTTTTGTTTTTTTTGTTTTGTTTTGTTTTGTTTTGTTTTTATAGAACCAAATTAAAACTTGTTTACATAAAGTTAAACATCAATTCTTTTGTTGAATTTTTTCTATAGAATTTTTGTTATAATATAAAATAAATTTTTATATTTTAAAAATTTATTTTAGAATTATTATATAAATCAAAGTTGTGTAAAGTTTTTTTATATAACTGTATTTAGTAAAGCTGTCAGAATTCATTAATAGTTTGTTAAAATTTATTTTCAGCTAAATACTGGTAACAACCTCTTTGCTTAAATTATTAAATAATCTAGTTTCTATATATATTTTTTTCTTTTTTAAATTTTTATCATATAAAAAAAGTTTTTACAATTTTAAAGTTATAATAGAAGAAATATAGTTTCACTATCAAAAAATAAAAGTTTACAATCATTTAATTTAGAAGATTTAACAAATGCTTTGAAACTTTTAACTTTTTAATCAGTTTAATGAAAACAATAATTATGAATGAAAATTAAAAGTATGAAACAAGTTTTTATTTATTGTATTACAACAAATTAAAAAGTTGCACATAAATTTATATACTAATTATTTATTTTATATATATATATATATATATATATATATATATATATATATATATATATATATAAATATATATATATATATATATATATATATATATATGTATATATATGTATATATATATATATATATACACATATATATATCTTTTTATTATAATGCTACCAAAAGAAAATGCAAGGCAAAAAGACACTATAAAATATTGTAAACTAAATTTAAAATAATATATTTATTTACAAGTAGTTCACATATATTTAAATGCAGTTTATAAGGAAATTATGAGCATTTTTTTTTTATAATTTTGTTGTTGCATATTTCTTTAAATATTGAGCATATTTGACTTTTTGTATAAAAAAAAAAACACTAAAATCAGGCTTGATCGGGAAGCGGGAGCGATTGCTCTCGATTGCTGACCACGTAAATAATATTTAGTTGCGAAAAGCTGGCCAGATTTTTAGTCGTTTTGAGAACATTTTAAAAAGCAAAAAAAAAAAAGCGACGAAGATTAATTGGACCGATGAGAGACAATTACAAAAAAAAATAAAATTATGCGATGTTTTTTATATAAAGTAACAACTTACGATTGTTTAAAAGGGAAATAAATATTCTTTATTTAACTAAGTTTGCAAGTTTTAGTTTTACTTAATCTAAATTATTTTATAAATAAAAAAGTTAATTTTTTTAATACCTATTTTATGTTTCGCGTAGTTTGAAAAGTTTAACATATTTAAAGCGATTCTTCTTAGTAAGATAAACAAATGAAATAATTAAATCATTGAATTACTATAGGAATTAAATTATCAAGATAGAAATCAACTAAAAAGGTTAAAAATACTTAATGACAATATCGCTGATGTGCTGATTAGTGAGTGGGCTTTTTAATTTTAATAAGTATTTAAAGCAGCAAAAAGTATAACGAGTTTTAAGAATGGCAATTTAAGCGAAAATATTTAGAGTTAGTAAACCTATATCTAGAAACTTTTCTTTAAATCTAATTATTTGCTATATATATTTGTGTTTTGTCGTGACCTCAGGCGCGATGCTTGTTCATCCGCGAGTTACTTTGTATGCGTTGTTTGTGTTTAGTAACCAGAAACTTCTCATATGTTTGTTACATAATTAGTTTTATTAACTTTAACGATTATAACTTCATTGAAAACGCAATTATTTTTGTAAGTCTTTGTTTAAATCATGAAAATTGCTTTAAAAGATACATTATGATAAAAAACAAATACACAAATTTACATTTACATAAAGAATACAATCTCTTTTAAAATAAAAAATAATAATATACTAATAAAATCTATGATTTATAATAAACTTTTAAAATTTTGACAACTTAATATATATTTAAAACATTTATTTTTGTAAACAAATAATAAATATTTTTAAAACAATTTATGCTAGAAATCTCAAAACGTAACAAATCGTGAATTAAAACATTTCAACAGAATACTCTAGAACTTTATTTTGCTTAATCAGCGTATTTTTTGAACCAATAGAATTAGTTTGTTCGTTAATTTGGCGGGTTTTTAGTGTTCGCAAATATTCTTTTTATTCTTGCGCTCAAAGATGTTTTGAGAACATTCAAGTTTTTTATGTTTCCATGTATGTCCGTAAAACAAAAATTTTTTGTTTCGTACATAAACTTAAATGTTCTCAAAACGACTAAAAACCCTGGCCAGTTTTACGCAACTAAATATAATTTCCGTGGTCAGTATTCGAGAGCGATCGCTCCCGCTTCCCGACCAAGCCTGTAAAATACTTGATACTTAAATTAAGCATAATTTGTATTAGATTCTGTAAATAATTTTTTTTGTTGGAACAATCTTGAAGCATTTACTCGCAATGGTAAAAAAAGTTTTTGCAACAGTTTTTTCTAAAATGAAAAAAATGTTTATAAAAAAGTTTATGTTTGGATCCTAGCAATACCTTAAATGTATAATATTATGAGAGATTATTATACAAAACCTTTATAATGCATAACATAGAAAAGGTTATGGAAAAGACAGGCATACCTGACTATTAAACCAATTTTTTGTTTCGAAATTTTGGATGAGATTTTGAATTGACACATTTTTTGACACAAAGTTGTTGAATTTAATTGCATTAAAAAATAATAATAATAACTAAGATACCTTTGGTAATAGTAGAGGATATTTTTGGTATTAATAGAGGGTAGGTATACCATACAACACTTTTTTCTAAGTTATGCTTCTCTGCTAGAGGTGTTTATATATCTGCTATAAAGGTGTGTAAGTATTTTCAATTTGAACAAATACCAAAGTTTGGTTCAAATTTTTATTTTTCGATTTGGTTTAAATTTTTTAAACAATTTAAACAGAATTTAAAGAAAGAAGAAGAAAAAAAGAAGAAGCTTTGAAAAAACATTGAAAAACTTGCTGTTTATAAGATTATTGTAATTGGTTGACTAACTAGAATTCATTCTTTTTTTAGTTGATAATTTAACTATCTGGAAAAAAAAATTACAAGGTAAAACAGTAGAAAGATAAAACAAGTCTATTTCATACCATGTACTCTCAGGTGCTTTATACAGGAGGGGATATTTATTTTTAGAAAATTATCCCACCCTCTCTGAGTATATGAACCATCACCCCCTCCGCCTATTTATTTTTAATTGTTATCAAGTTAAATAAAAGGAGAGAGGTGGTGGTTAATATACTCTATACCTAGTTTCCCAACAAATGGGTAAATTCTTAGAAATGTAAAACATCAATAAAAAGTATAAAATTGCAAAGGTTGCATCTCTTTATTATGCTTACCACTTTTTTACTCCGGATTCTTTATCTTTGAATCTCAAATATGCCCTTGTATAGAATAGGGTTGCCATATTTGGAGCGGATCTTCGAATGATGCTTTTTCTCTTTTAAACAAGGTTCAAAAATGCATTGTAAACACAGTTGGACCTGTTCTTGCAGCTAACCTTTAACCATTATCACATCATTGTAATGTTGCTCCTCTTTCTCTGTTCTATAAATACTATAATGGGCACTGCTATAAAGAGCTTGCGCCTCTTGTGCCATCTATTAAAATTCGTTCTTGTGTCATTCTTTATTCAATCAATTCTTATCCCTTTACTGTGACTATTCCTAAGTGGTCCAAAAGTTTTTATTCATCTAGTTTTTTTCCTCAAACATTAGTTCTTTGGAATTTACTCCCTTCATTTTGTTTTCCTTCATAATCGTTATCTTGTTTTATAAATTTTATCTTTTCACTTCCAGTAACTTTCTTCATTAAAGATGTTTTAAAAAAAGAAAAAAGAAACTGTGTCTCAAAACTGAAAAAAAAAAGTTTTAATGTAAACCGGTCTTAAACATTAAAATTTTTTTTTCCATATTTGGTTTAGTGTTAAAATTTAAAAAATTGATTTTTTGCTGCTGTTTAAATTAAATAAAAATAGCAAAAAGAATGCTTTGAATAAATACTAGATAAAATAATTAAAAAAAAAACTCGTAAAAAAAAGCATTTTTTGTAAAAGTTGAACAACTGAACAAAAATATTTTTTGTTTACTTTTATTTTTTTGGTAGGCGCTTTTTCATGCGCTTGCCAAAGTTTTTGCAGGCGTGTGGGCAAGCGCAAAAAGACTTGAGCATGATAGCGCTGGCTAAACGGAAAAGACTGCTATATTGTTCAGCTATGTGCAGAATAGCTATTGTTAAGATCTTCATATTGGATTAGGTACGCTTAAAGAAAATAAAGATTTCTAAAATAAACATATAGAAAAAAAAAAAGTTGACAATTAAGTGCAGAAGTAATAGCATTAAAATGTTTATAATTTTGTTAATGTCTAATTTTGCTTATATTTTGAAACCCAGGTTGACCTTGGAATTTAAGAACTTTAACGTTACTAAATACTATTAATGTATATTATAAATTTGTGTTAATAATTTCCCATTCCAAATACATTCACTATTTATGTTCTGTGAATGGCATACATTGTCAATAAATCAGATTGTTTCTTAAAAATACATTCACTATTTATGTTCTATGAATGGCATACATTGTCAATAAATCAGATTGTTTCTTATAAATGACTTTAAAATTTTCTAAGACATTTTTTTTTTTACTATAAGAATCTTTAAATATTTTTAGAGCTACTGAGACCAGAAACAAGTAATGATTCACATTTCTGAATTTTTTTTTTTTTTTTATTTTACTTCACCTCCTCAAGGCCGAGAAGGCCACTACAGACGAGGAGGCTACTTATTTTGTGGCTATAACCCTCTCTCAGCTCTATAACTCCGAAACACGAACCTTGACGAACAAGGCGGCTGCGCAGAGAAACGAGTTGAGCGCGGTACTACCAGGGACGCGGTGGGGATCGAACTCGGAACCACTCGTTTATGAAGCGAGCGCTCTACCACTACACCACTACCGCATTATTTGTAAAGATATATTAAAAAACTTCATACTCTAAAAATGCCTTTTTTTCATTATAATCTATTTTAAAAAATTATATTTTAATATCTTAATTTTTACTAACTACATAAAAAATATATATGAATTATTTTTTCATCTTTTTGTTTTTTAGTGACAATATCAAATATGGTTTTTCACAAAGCACCAGCTATTCCTATTTATAATTACCTTTTACAACATAAAACACCAAAATTTAAGTTAGTCACCTACCAGGGTTTAGTTATTGGAATAACATATCTTAGTTATATGTCGTATCATGCAGCCAAACGACCTTTCAGCGTTGTTAAAGGAGAATTGAATCCAAACTGCACCATAACAGCAGTTAACAACACATGCACTGCATGGCGTCCGTTTTCTAATCCAACTGAAACACAAGATTTGTTTGGTTTACTGGATTGTGCATTTCTTCTCACTTATGCGTTGGCCATGTTTGTAAGTGGATACATTGCAGAACACACTAATTTGCGTATTTACTTAAGTTTAGGGATGTTCTTTACTGGAATTTTTACTAGTTTATTTGGCTTGGGCTTTTTTTTGAAGATTCATTCCTTATATTTCTTTTTCCTTATTCAAATTCTCACTGGCATCGCACAATCAACAGGTAAGTTTTCATATATATTTCAAATTATATGTTGATATCTTGTAGTATATATTGAAACGTTTTCTGAGGTTTGGAAAATGTCATTATTTTGAGCTATTAAAATGATAAAAAAAAGATAAAAAATAAAATTCTAAAATTTATTTGGAGTTTTAAACTAATAATTATTGAAATATATTTTATACCAAAACCCAGTCAATTCATGTACGCTAGAGTAACAAATTTTTTTCTCTTTTTAAATTAATAAAACAAACAAATATACTGTGCAAATACCTGTTTGAAATTTTATATACTAGCTTATATTGAAAATTTATATACTAGCTTATATTGAAATTTTATATACTAGCTTATATTGAAAATTTTATATACTAGCTTATATTGAAAATTTTATATACTAGCTTATATTGAAAATTTTATATACTAGCTTATATTGAAAATTTTATATACTAGCTTATATTGAAAATTTTATATACTAGCTTATATTGAAAAAATTTATATACTAGCTTATATTGAAAATTTTATATACTAGCTTATATTGAAAATTTTATATACTAGCTTATATTGAAAATTTTATATACTAGCTTTTTTTTTTTTTTTTTTTATTTGCATTCACTCCCAACAAGGCTGCAAGCAACCACTATAAAGTTGGGAGTTACTAGGAAAAAAAAAAAGAACAGAGTTATAGAGCAAGGAAACGGTTGACAGAAGACTTAAAAAGTTGAAGGTTGTATGAGTCAGGAAAACTTGAAGATGGGAGAGAGTTCCAAAGAATTGAAGTGCGGGGAAAAAAACTAGATGAATAAAAGTTTTTAGAGCATGCAGGGACAGATACAGAAAACAAATGAGACTTAGGTGAATGACGAGTAAAACGAGAATGAATTTTAGTTGATGGAACTAGAGATGATAACTCCTTTGAGCAGTGACCATGATAGTATCTGTAGAAAAGAGAAAGAGATGCAACTTTACGACGATGGGAAAGAGGTTCAAGCTTAGCAGATAGTCCAGGTCCAACAACATTTACAATGCGTTTTTGGACCTTGTCAAGAAGAGAAAGTTATTCGTTAGAAGAACCAGCCCAAATATGACAACAGTATTCCATACAGGGACAAATAAGATATTTGTAGAGGTAGAGAATGGAATCAGAAGTAAGGAAATGGCGAGCACGATAAAGAGAAGCAACCTTAGCAGAAGCTAATTTAGCAATCGATTGTATATATGGTTTCCATGAAAGGTCAGTAGTAAGCGATAATCCAAGAAGACGTAAAGAGGACGACTCAGTAAGAGGATTGCCATTCATTAATATAGGAATGTTGACCATATTACGGTAGTTGTTTGCAGTAAGCAATTGGGCTTTTTTAGAGTTGAAATTCACAAGCCACTGTGAACCCCAATCTATTACTGAAGTGAGATCAGATTCAAGATCAGCTGCTTGTTCTAGGCGATCAAAAAGAGAAGACTTTTTGTCAAGACAGGAGTATAAAGTTGAGTCATCAGCAAAAAGAGCTACTTTAGATGAAAGGTTGTCAGGAAGATCGTTTATGTAGATAAGAAACAAAACAGGGCCCAGGATGGAACCTTGGGGAACCCCAGAAGTTACTGGAAATAAAGAAGAGTGTTGGCCTTCAAGGATGACTTTAATAAACCGGTCAGAAAGAAATGATTTGATAATCTCAAAAACTTTCCCAGAAACACCATATGAAGCAAGCTTATGGAGAAGACCAGCATGCCAAACTTTGTCGAAAGCTTTAGATATGTCGAGAGCAATAGCCCTAGCCTCACCGCCTCCATCTAATGCACGATAAAATCTTTCAGTTACAGCAGTTAACAAGTCGGCCGTAGAGCGAGAGGATCGAAAACTGTATTGATTGTCTGACAGCAGTTTATTTGACTCAAGATGAGATGTGAGGAATTTGTTGATTAAAGACTCAAAGACCTTGCTAATAACAGAAAGAAGACTGATCGGACGATAATTGGAGGGGTCAGAATTTTCTCCAGAGTTTTTGAATATTGGAACCACAGATGCCATTTTCCAACAAGCAGGAAAACAAGACTCAGTCAAACACTTGTTAAATAGTTTAGAGAGAATTGAAGAAAGTTCTGGAGAACAATTCTGCAAGACTTTGACAGGAATGTTGTCTGGACCACAAGCTGTAGACGAGTTTAATTGAGATATGACTTAACAACAGAAGCCGGAGTGATTTGAATGTCTAACAATGGGTCAACCTGTTTGACTGGAATGGAAGGAAGAGAATGTCCATAAGATTCAAGAGTGGAATTAGAAGAAAAGTTCTTTGCAAACAGTTCTGCCTTATCCCTGGGAGAGGTAACAAGATCAGTCCCATGAATGAGAGATGGAATGTTAGATCTACCCTTGTTAACAATGCTGTTGAAGATTTTCCAAAAGTCTTTAGAGCCTAACTTCTGCGATAAGATGCGAGATTTAGTGAACTGAGAATAATGGAGTTTAGCATCAGAAAGCACCTTTTTACATCGATTTCTTGCAATAATAAATAGCCGTTTGTTCTCAAGAGAGTTGTTCTTTTGAAAAAGATGAAAAAAATGGTTACGATTGGATATAGCAGCCGCACAAGAAGGAGAAAACCATGGAGTAGAATGAGGCTTGACTTGAAACCGACGAGAAGGAATAAAAGCTTCCATTCCAGCCTGAATCCAGGAGGTTACGTAGGAGGCACATTTGTCAGCTGAGAGAGAAAAAACATCAGCCCAAGGACCATCACGAAGAAAATCATGAAAGGTATCCCAGTCAGCTTTAGGGTAGTAGTAGGTGAGAAGTACGAGAAGAAAGATTTATAGAGATCATTGCATGGTCAGAACCACCTAAGGGAAAAAAGGGAGAAACTGAACATAAGCTAGGGTCAGAGACAAGACATAAGTCAAGGAGTGAAGGTAAATGATTAGGGTTGTCAGGAAAACAAGTCACAAAGTTAACTATCTGAGTAAGAGATTGAGAAACGCAGAAGTTAAAGGCTTTAGTGCCAGCAGGATCAGTGGTGTTAGAGCCAAGCCATTCAGTGTGATGGGCATTAAAATCACCAACAACAACAATATTGGCAGAGGAGTAAAGAGAGAGGGCATGGTCAATTTGATCAGAGATAACATCTAAAAGAGTGCAATCATGGGAAGAAGGAGAACGATAAAGAACAAAGAGAAAGGTGATAGAGTGAAGAGGTGCTAGGCGAAAGCACATAAAAGAATGGTCAAAGGATTCGAACCTGATTTCACGAAAAATAGGGGAATTAATGCGTATGTATACCCCTAAACCTAGCATGTGACTATTGGAGTCTTTACGAATCAAAGGATAGTACCCATCAACACTGACATCTGAAGAAGGAATTGCAGAACTTAAATTTGTTTCACTGAGTGCAAGCAAGTCTGGTGAATTTTGAAGGAGGTAAGACTCAACTGATGGAAAGTTGCTTCGTAGACCGCGAATATTTGTAAAAGAGATCCAGCATTCATCATCCTAGGCAGGAAACAATGTAACACAGGTTACATCTACGCCAGCCTAATAGATGAAGAAGGGGTTCGAGGCTGGTTAGCAGAATTTTTCTGCTTACCCCTAAAGTCTTTGCCTAGGAGGCCTTCTACAAGACAGTAGCAGGATGCAGTTAACATCTGCCCAAGATGAGTATTTTTATCGAGACACCATCTCTAGCCTTTACTCAACCAAGAGCCCCAAGGCAGGGGATGTTTAGCTGGATGCAGTTAACATCTGCCCAAGATGAGTATTTTTATCGAGACACCATCTCTAGCCTTTACTCAACCAAGAGCCCCAAGGCAGGGGATGTTTAGCTGGATGCAGTTAACATCTGCCCAAGATGAGTGTTTTTATCGAGACACCATCTCTAGCCTTTACTCAACCAAGAGCCCCAAGGCAGGGGAATTTTTAGTCGGAGTTTATTTCTCCTAGCCTTTGCATAAGAAGAGCACACTCTGCAAGGCAGCAGGGCTTGTGGCAGGTGGTACTGGGTTACGTGATACCAGTAGCAAGATTGATCTCGATTATCCTGACCTGACCTGGAGTAGTTAAAAGGAGCTACTTCCCGCAACAGTACTTTGAGAAAACCAGGCATGACATTTTGGAAGTGCATAAGGAAAAACACTGCATCTAACAAAATACAGGAGTCTAAGGTGAGTGTACGTTTTGTAGTTGGAGTAAGTAGTTAGTTACTGAGCTCACGCTGCATTAGAGTATAAACAGAACACAAACAAACATAAACAGCTTATATTGAAAATTTTATATACTAGCTTATATTGAAAATTTTATATACTAGCTTATATTGAAAATTTTATATACTAGCTTATATTGAAAATTTTATATACTAGCTTATATTGAAAATTTTATATACTAGCTTATATTGAAAATTTTATATACTAGCTTATATTGAAAATTTTATATACTAGCTTATATTGAAAATTTTATATACTAGCTTATATTGAAAATTTTATATACTAGCTTATATTGAAAATTTTATATACTAGCTTATATTGAAAATTTTATATACTAGCTTATAATGAAAATTTTTAGCTTACTAGGATCATAAGAACAGGTAGTTTTTCAATAATTTTGATAATCATTATTTTTGCTAATAGCAAACATTTGTATAGAAGCATAGGTAATTTGTATAATTATTGTTTTATTATTAGTAGTATTGACAAAAGTTTACCAAATGATTAATATTTGTATTTCAAGTAAAATATTTATTTTAACTTAAAAAAATCTCTCTGATAAATATGCTCTGAAATCTGTGTTTGATTTTTTTTGAACAACAATGTGTGAACAATATACAAACATTTAAAAGTTCTTTTTTCAATTTTCTTTTCAGCATAACTCTTTGAGACACTGAGCTGTTTGATAAAAAATACAAATTTCTTTTAAGAGGCTATTTTATCTACTAAAACAGAAAGTGTTTTTAGTTTTTCAATTTTACTCATGTTAAGAACCTTGTGCTTCATCAGTGCCTTCAAAATGTCATACTTTATTTGAATTTTAAGGGATCTCCTCAATGATGTATAAATGTTCTTAACTTTGCAGGAACTTTTTTTTATTAAAATTTATTAATTCTTTACATAAATATTTTATTTCTATCTTATTTATTGTTAAAGTTTGTTATTTGTAAGATATATGGTGTGATATTTTTTAAAGTTTTCTCCCCTTCTAATGCATAAAGTATTTTATAATTCTAACTATTTTTACTATAAAACTATTTTTATAGAATCATAAAAGATTCTATTTTTTTAAAACTTTTTTGGTATGTAACTTGCAGTTTTCCTATATTTTTAAAGGCAATTAAGGAACTAAAAAAATATTTTAAAAAGGAGGAAACAAAGGAACTCAAATATAGTAGAGGTTGATTGGTTAATTGGAGGTAGAATAATTTACATATAAATCTCTATCGCTGTATTTAGTGGATACAAAACAAATCTAGTACCTTTTTTTAAAGTTGAAGGATCTGCAAATTTAAAATCAGCTACAGGCAGCATAAATTATAGCAACGACACTGATTTTCGCAATATGGATTTAATTTTTTGGCTTAGACAGTAATGACTTTTTTTTAGGGGTTTCATAAGCATATTGCCGATTAAAAAAAAAATGATTTTTTGATTGATTTTTTATATTTTCTGACTAGGTCAAACCATGTCCATATTTGCCAACTAAAAATCAAGACTAGGGTGGGGAGAGATGTTTCACCTCAGCGGAGGCAGAGCGTTTTAAAAAGAGGGGCAGGGGAGGGGGAAGCATTCCAATTTCGCCCCTCCCTTCTCCGCAGTTTTAGGAGCAGCCATGGTGCAGTAGTCAGTTCGCTTACTTTGGAGGTTAGAAATAAAGTTAATTATGTTAACTTTGTTTCTGTTGATTTAAAAAAGTTCAGGGGGCTAATAACAAAGTTCTTTGACTAAATTTTGAGTTTCATTTCACGAATATTATTGTTATTGTATGACATCAGGGTTAAAATAATCTGAAAAATATCTTTAAAGGAGGGGGCAAAAGCTACTTAAATGAATAGTGAGAGGTTGCGTATGGCCCTCTCCACTATCACCTTAAATTAGGTGCTAAAAATAGATTTTAAATAGTAATCTTTATAATAATTAATAAATTTTTCCTTTAACAAACTCCACAAAGATACATCAAAATCAATTTTATCTACAACTATGCCATATGGGGTCCATACAACAAAGTATGTAATACTACACTTTGTAACAGCCATTTGCATCATACATTGGGTGTAATAAGTATGGTTAGTTTTAAGTTTTATATCAACACCCTCTTTTATTAAATATGGTAAATTTAATTCTGTTGGTGCAGTAAAATTAATCTTGTAAGGACATTTTACCTCAATACATGCATTAGGACAGCAATCACCTGACATTATTCGGACTTGCTCCAATGTAAGGATGTTCATAATCAAGGTATAGTCCACATTCATTTAAATCAAGATTTTTATGATGTCCTTTCATTTTTACATAAAACACATTCACAGCTTCAACTTCCATCGTACGCCCATATTTTAAGGCTGGAATATTAGGGTTAGTAAATGTCAGCCCTGATATTTTTTTGGTTAAGTGACCAAAAGTTATAGTAGCCAACAACATCTTTTTTAATTTTATCCATACTCGTTGCTACCTCGTGAGCTTTAGAGGCAGTTATAACACTTTTCCGATAGTGATACCAATTTTCATTTTTATTTTGCCCTCGTGTTACTAGTTCTATTTGTTTTATATTTTCGGCTGACATGTTTACTTCTACACCTGTAAACAACTCAACACAACAACAATAACAAGAGGTAGAAATTAAACTGTCAATGCTTAGCAAATCAACTGGTGGCATATCACCTGTTGTCAAAACTTCACGAATAAAGTCTATTTTTGGTTTTGGAACAGCAGTAAACAAAATGCTTGTTGGCACAATTTTCTCAAGAGCAGAAGCTACATCATTGATATTTAATAATTGTACTGTATTATTCGATAGAGGATTATATTTTTCTTTTTGTGTATCTACTAACTTTCTCTTTTTTTTACCTCTTTCGCCAAAATCTTAATGACTAAAGTCAAGGTCTTTGATTTTAGAAGGCGCTACTTCTTTTCTAGATGGCAGCCATTCATTTGACGTGCTTGTACATGCAGGGTTAGTTAATCCATTTCTTACAGCAGCTTCTACTCTATACATTGCTGCAGCAACATGGTTACAAGTTTGACTCATGCCAGCCATGCATGTACAATGACAGGCTTTAATTCTAGCACTTTTTTCTAATACTAGCCACAGTTTATGATATGTATTATTGATAGATTGTGATCTCCGACATTCATATTTAAATATACAGTAATTACTACCTGTTAAATTATGATACATAAGAGGCTGAAGCCAGGAAGATTTATAGTAGCTGTATGCTTTTGAATTTTTATAGTCACTTAAGTCATTACTTCCGAGTTCTGAAGGATTAAACATTAAATAGTTAAATATATCTGGATATAATAACATTGGCCAGAATGGCATACCCTCCTGTTCGTCCATCCAGCCATCAAGAATTTTAAACGGATCAGGTATCTGCATATTGTCTAATTCCAGTTTCAAATTATATTCTTTTTTTAAATCTGCCTCAACTTCTACTGCTGTTTTTATTGGTAGAACATTGTTTTCTATTGCAGCAAATACACGTGCAACTAGCTCTTCTTTTTTACCATTTAATTTTAATCCTCTTAATTTCAAATAGTTTTTTTAACTCTTCAACTTTCCTCTTTGAAATCATATTGTACTCCATGATTAATTTTATAGTAAATATTTGTTTTAGCAGTTTTAGTTAGATGTTTATACTTCGTTTTCTCAAGTAAATATTGTAGCGGAAGTATTTTTTTTACCCCTCCTAATGGAGTTCAGACCTCTTAAAAATGACGTATTTTAAATTCGCTCAATCGGTGTATTGTGATAAAAGTATTTTTCTTTTTCAGTTTCTTGTTGAGTTTTTTTTAATTGTTTTTGTCTTTTTGTTTTGTTTTGTTTGTTTGTCCTCAGTTTGAGCTTTAAGAGTTTCAATTTTTTGTTTTAATTTTTCATAGCTCAAATCAGGAGCTAGCAGTTCTTCTCTATAAGATTCTGGTGTTTCTTTTAGTGATAATCTTTTCCCACATACATCCGGGCTTCAGGATACATCCGGACTTCTGGATATTCCTTTCAACTTTTTCAGGAATCTCCAAAAGATTTACATTAAATAAATTAGAATATATTTTTGTAATATATCTTTTTTTTTAATTTTTCAATCTCTCTCTCTCTCTCTCTCTATATATATATATATATATATATATATATATATATATATATATATATATATATATATATATATATATATATATATATATAAAGCTATAAAAAATATTATAAAAAAACCACAGTTTGTTTTGTACTCACTAAAAAAATTATCTTTTCCACTTAAGAAACAACCTAATTTTTTTCGTTCTTATTTTAGCTCTGGAATGTATAAAAAATTGTGATTTTTAATTGTGATTAATATAAATTTGACAATTTAATTTGAGATTTAATATAAATGTGATATAAAACTTTAAGTGTGTATAAAGAGGATAAATAGTTTTTTTTGTTTTCAAATAAAAAAAATAATTTCTGTAGGTTGGCCATGCGTTGTTGAGGCTGTTGGTTTATGGTTTCCAGAAGGTAAACGTGGTTTAATAATGGGAATTTGGAATACTCATATATCTGTCGGAAACATTGTTGGAACAGCTCTTGCTGCTCCTTTTGTTGAATACAACTGGGGATTATCTTTTGTTGTTCCAGGCTGCTTGATTGCTGGAATTGGAATTTTAGTGTTTCTTTTTTTAGTCCCAGATCCTCGTGAAGTTAATATGACAAACTTGGAAGATACAGCATATTCTGAAGAAGAAATGTTATTAGAAAAAGAAAACTTCAAGGGTGGCTCTAACGATCACCCAATTGGAATATGGAAAGCTCTATGGATTCCCGGTGTTGTTGAATACTCAATGTGTTTATTTTTTGCTAAGTTAGTAAGTTATACCTTCTTATTCTGGTTACCTTTTTACATTGGCAGTATTTCTATAAAAGGCAAAGTTTATAGTAAATCTCAAGCAGCAGATTGGGCTACATTGTTTGATGTGGGGGGTGCTATTGGTGGTGTTGTTGCTGGCGCTTTAAATGATTTATCTGGCAAACCCGGTTTAGTAAATTTTTTATTCTTGGTTTGCGCTGCTCCTTGTTTATTGTTGTTACAAATCTATGGATCAACTAGTTTATCAACATTTATAGGTTATCTAATGATAACGGGATTTTTTGTAAATGGTCCTTATGCATTAATCACTACTGCAGTATCTGCAAGTTTAGGCGCACATCCTTGTTTACATGGAAATACAAAAGCAATGGCGGTTGTGACATCAATTATTGACGCCACAGGATCTCTTGGTGCAGCGGTCGGCCCACTATTAGCTGGTGTTATTTCATCAAAAACAAATTCATGGGTTTTTGTCTTTTATATGCTTATTTTAGCTGATGTATTAGCAGCACTTTTTTTAAGTAGACAGTTGTTTTGTGAGATTAAAGCTATTTGTAGTCGTAGAAATAAATCTCCAATCAATTCAAATCAGTTGGTAATCAATGAAAATTAACTATTTTGTTACAAGATATATTGGTATTTCTATTGTTAGAAATTATTATTAAAAGTGTATATTGTTATTATTATCATGATTATTATTATTATTATTTTTTTTTTTTTTTTGTATAAAATCTTTTTGTAATAGAAGTAATTTATGAGATAATTGAAAAAGAGACTTGTTGACTCTGGTTTATATCAAGATTTTTTTTTTACTTTATATATTATATATAATTTAAACATTTGAAAAAAAAGTCAAAAATTTTTTTTTTAGCTTTAAAGTTTTTTTTATTACTGAATCTAGGTTTTGCATTTTTTGAATGCCCTGAATTTATAAGAAGTTGATTAAATTAAAAATTTTAATTAAAAATAAAGTTAAAGCATTTTAAATAAAGTTAAAACAAGAATTGTAGAGCGTTTTTCTAAAAGAGAGACATTTTTTACAAAATTAAGTTTTTTCAACATTCGAATTCTTTACTGAAAAAGGTACAATCCAACTAAGTATGAATAAAAAAAACATCGTCTTTGATTTATGATTACAAAACTATTGAGATTTAATAAAATACTTCGCTTGATAATAAGTTTTTAATTTTCTCAAAACAATAAAAATGTGACTTAGCTCCTTTTTGAAAAACGCTCTTATATTTTAGTCGCGTTTGAATGAATTATAAACTTTTTTTTTTTACAAACGAACATTTTTGCATATTTTGTGTTAAAAAATATAATATTTGAATTTGTAAAGAGATTTATAAACATATTTATGAGATCTTTTGGTTTAATTATTATTTTTTATTTTTCTCCTTGATTAACATTTTAGGTAAGGGGACATCCATAAAGTACGGTGTCCCATCCATTTGTACGCACCTGTGTATTTTAATTGACCCCTTTTTCCCCTCTGCGTTCGTACGCATTATTTATTACAAAATCACCTCCCCCTCCCCTACCCCAAATTTTTAAAAACGGTAAAAACAACAATTTTTTAGTTAGTTCGACATTTCTCTGTTACATAACATTATTTTTTTAAACTTGCGAAATTCATTGCTTTTGTTCAAAAAAAAAATGGAATAAAGTTTTAGGAGAGATAGACAACGAGAGATCAAATCGCGTTCGTACTCGGTGACTTTAACTCCCTCCCCCTCTGGTACGTATTCGTACGTGTTTGGGTAACTCCCCCTCCCCCACACCTGCGTACGTACTTACAGAAGACCCCTAACGTGGTTGAAAAACTATTTTAAATCTTTAGTTAGAAAAGTTAAATCCTTGACAACTATTCCTACGCAGAACTTTTTTGCGTATTGGTGATTCATAGGCCAGCTGGCGGGTAAGCTTTTTCCTTTAAAGACCTTTGAAATATTGTAAAATATTTTTTTATAAAAAACTCCGAGAACTTAAATAAATTACTTAAGCAGAAGTCAACTAATTGAACTGCCTGCATGCCTAATGAAAAGGTGTAGTCAACAGTGAAAAAATCACAAAAAAAGTCACAAAACTTATAAATCTTAAAAAACCGCTTCTTTTAGTTTAAAACCAAATAAATAAAACAATCGACTGCAAATTGTAAAAACACTTTGTGCTATTTTAATATTAGTTAGTCAGTTTAAACATGCTCAATGCTAAGAAAAGTTTCATAATGAAAATCAAAAGTTTGTGAACTTGCTCTGTCTGAAAAAATGTTTAAGACAGTATACTGTTCTCCGAGAAGATCAAATATACCGACTGTACAAAACCAAGATCAATATCAGTGATTCTTAGGCACTACAAGTACTTTGCGCTCAATTGTGCAGAACTACATTGCATCGTAAATCGTGCAGAACTACATTGTGCATGAAACAAAAGGGGAAAGAAGTTTCACTTCCCTCTTTGTTTGATTTCAATTCAATACAAGTGAGACCTGAAACAAGAGATACGATGTGTTTTTACCTAATCTTCCAACATATTTGTTTAAAGCTGCAAGAGAAACATCCTTTTAAAGAGATTTTTGAATTATGTAGACGATCTAGCTGAAGCTTAATCCATATTTTGCAGAAAACATTGAAAATTTCAAAAGTTTTACTTAATGATAATTAGTGCTCACTGCATTAATTCAGAGGTTATAAATTGAATGTCATGATTAAAAAAAAATATTTAGCAAACTATTGGACTATTAGATGTCAGCTCGATAAGGAATCTGGTGAAAACAAAATAAAAACCGCATCTTCTTCGGAGATTATGCGGATTTTTAAATGAAATACCCTGCATAAGATTATTTATAATGGTGCGTATGCAGGGTGGACACGATGACATGTGTAGTATATAAATATATATTGCAAACATTGATTTATACAATAGTAAATGCAACTTTGATAAATACTTATGTTTAAGTTAGCTTAAAATAGTTAGTCTTAATTGACAAACATCTTTACATTAAAAAAAAAAAATTGGATAAGTAAATCAAACTTTAAATGATTATTAATATTCTTGTTTACTTCTGACATACGCTTGCATATTTTTTGGGTGAGATTTTGAATCTTTGACCAGCTTCTCCTCATGATCGGTTACCACCTTATTTATAGTCTTCTTAACTATTTTGCAAGCAAGTTTATATTTTACTCGAAGTGATTTGTGTGTTTCGCGACCAGCAGCAATATACTTACCTCAGAGCTTTTTTTTTTTTTTTTGATAGTTTTAAGTACTTCTGGCGTAATCCACAACGGTTGATTTTTATAGAACGGTAAGGTTGTTGTTATAACAAATTTATTGACTGCGTCGTTGTAGTTTTTAACTAGAATATCATCTATAGATTGAATAACAACTTTTGATGGAAGCTCTGTGCATGAAAATTACAATTTTGTAATTTTCATGCACAAAGCTCTGTGCATGAAAATTGTAATTTTCATGCACAGAGCTTCCATTAAAAGTTGTTACTCAATCTATAGATGATATGCATGTTGATATGGAATTGTAGTTGGCTTTGTTCCAGATGAATCGTTTTTTCATCGGAGTAGTTGTTGTATTGTGCCCGGTTAAAGCAAAGAGTCTGTGTATCATGCAATGTGCTTGACCTCCTGGTGTATCGCCTAGATGATCTGCTCTAGTGATTTCTATGGAGCGGTCTCGTTTATCAGAGAATATTAGGTCAGGCGTGCTACTAAAAGGGGCATCCCTATACTGTCGATATGTTGGAAATATAACCTGTAGGGTAAGATGGCACTCATTGAGACATTCTTGGAATTTTAGGTCGGTTAGGTGTTTGTGGGCTACATAAGCAATGGTTGCTACAGCACTTCTTTCTTCAATAGATTTGTAAGACGTTTCTTTAAGATTAAAATCTCCATACAGAAGTATTGATGAACACCCTAGTTTTTGAAGAACAATTTTTGCTGCTAATATGGTAGCTAAAACAGAAACAAAGTAGTCATCATTGAAGTCGTGAGGGCGATAAATCTCTTCCAATTTTGATCGATAACATCTCTTCCGATTTTGATCACACGCCATATTTGTTCAATTTCAGGCGAGTTAAGTTGGACAACATTTGTTTCTTCAGCAACTATACTATCTTTGATGTAGATCGCAACTCCGCCTCCTCTGTCGATTGTGTCCTTACGATGTAATTGATAACCGGCGATTGATGTATCAGAATCGTTTGTGAACCAGGTTTCCGTAAACCATATGACGTGCGGTGATGTGATGGATCTCTGATATTAGCTAGCCTGACAACAAGTTCACTATGTTTATCTTTATTAAGTGAACATGGATTATTGGTCTAGTAATAAAGTATATCAGAAAAATCGATAGTTGGTGGATCTCTAAGCAAAGCTTATGTTGTTGGCTGTATTGTGATTGCAAAGTTCAATTAGGTTTTGGTCGTTTAAATTTTAATGCTTTAGTTTTTAACAATTTTCTGTCTGGCATAATTTTTTCGTCAGAATTTAGTTTATTGGAGGATAATTTTTGTTGATTTGGTATTGAGGATGGTATGATTTGGATTAACGTAATATTACTAGGTACCTCCTTTGAGGAACAACATGATAAATGTATTCTTGAGTTTTTTTTATTGTATTAGTTTTAATTGTAGGATTTAATGGTGTGTATAAAATCCGGGTGGTGATGAATTGCTATTGGACAATTTTAATTTTCTTAACCTCAGTACCTCTGATACCAAAGTAGTGAGTACCAGTAAATTTGTTGTTCTCTCGCGGTATTTCTTTGTTTAGATTGTTTCCTTTCGTGAGTAGCTCTTTCTATAAAATGCGCTCTACACTGGTGAAATCAGGTTGAATTCTGGTTTAATTGATTTTTTTAATCCGTATAAAACTATGTTATTTGCTTTATGGTCTTTTCTGATTGAAATTTTGAAACTATCATTAAACAGTTAGTTTCTTGTGCATTGAGTTCCTTTGATTTAACTATGTTGCTGAAAAGCGGAATTACAGCATTATCTGGCTTCTTTGTTTCTATTGCTTTAATTCTTTCGCCTAGATCAATTATTTACTTTTCTTGTTTATCAAAAACCGCCTTGAAAGCCTTGAACATAGATTTGATTTCTACTGCAAAGTGCTCTTGTTTTAAAACTGCAGCTTTTTGATTAGGGTTAGGTAGTGGAATTTCTGCCTTAGCACACAATTTGGTCATTTATTCTCCAAAATTGTCAAGATCCAACAAATCGGGCAACATTGCAGCAGATGCCATTGAATGGTCCAAGCTGATATTGATTGATGGTGGGAGGGCTACCACGCTAAATAACAGTGGATTACCTCCCTGAAGTGAAATATTTATTGTATATATAAATTATCTTATCAACACAAATAGAACTGTTAGATTTTTGTGTTTTTTCCGTATGTATATATATATATATATATATATATATATATATATATATATATATATATATATATATATATATATATATATATATATATATATATATATATATATATATATATATATATACGGAAAAATACAAAAAACTAACAGTTCTATTTGTGTTAATAAGATAATATATATATACAATAAATATTTCATATATTTATTGTATATATATATTATCTTATTAATTATTGTATAATATATATATATATATATATATATATATATATATATATACCTATGTTACTATATTGATCCTGCCTTTATTGCAGCATCAATATAGTAACATAGGCTACATTTTATAGTAGTTTTCTTTTTTTTCTATGCCTGGTGTATTTTGTAACGTTACGTGGTGTCGCTTACGATTGCCCGCATATTT